TATTTGTTCTTTGGTAACTGCAGAGCTTAACAACTGGAAATTCTTTCTTTGACACGGTTTCCCTAACTTATATCTTGAATTATTCATATCAAATTTTTAACTAACAGATGTAAGTGGTTATTAATAAACGAAAGAACTTCTTTTCAGTTACCAAGACTTATGCTCTTCCAACCACTCCTTGAAAATGAGTAGCGAGTACTACCCACGTGCTTACGAGGCAACAGAGCTGACGCTCGCTACTAGTTTCCAGTAAGAGTTATGTGGATGCTATGAACAAAAACTGTTGCATCGAAATCATATATACCGCGGCTTATCGCAACCTTTCTGGGGCTCTAAACACAAATTCAAACGAAATCTCAATTGGATTCTCCTCACTGGACATTTCTGTTGTTTGTCCGAGCAATGAAGATCTTGTGCGACCTAGTCCTAAAGACAAGAGCCTGAGGCGAAGCCGCCAGCACCATACGTGTAATTGGTTATATCTGGGGAAAACAATGGTTACAGAACCTGTCCCAAGGTACTTTGCCGTGATGACTGCAACACTATGTTGACTCGAAACAATTCTTTTAATAGTCAACTATTATATATTCGCAGGAATAAGACCTAAAAATAGCTATTGCTTGCTATCATATGGTGTGGCTATCATATGGTTGACTACAACATTATCTAAAACATCCTTTTTGTTTGAACGAAGCCAGAGTGAACGATTCATCCCGAACATCTTTTTTATGACCACATTCAAAAATTCAGCGTGTTGAGAGCATGTAAGAGCTGAATCACGATTGCGCATCGAAGCAAATACCTCAATAGTTTGGCTTACAGCAAAAGGAAGAAGTCGAAACTTTGACTCTCAATTCTTTTAGACATCAGAATAATTCAAGTTATTTGTCCAGGAAACACACCTAATCAGAGCAAAGATAGGATCACCTTACTGGTCGTCGTAGTTCTTTATTTTGTTCGCTACTAGAGACACTGTGAGTGAAACTTAGTAGTAGTGTAGACAAATTATATTCATGTTTTGATCACAAAGCCCAAAAAGCTACATGCTTATTATAGATTTAGATAAGGAACAACTACAATATTAAGATAGCTAATGAAAGTGACTGTATCCTTGCTCCAAAGTAGAACACGTAGGGTTCAACAATTAGAAATTCCGCTGAACAGTCATTCACAATCACAGTCATCGGAATGCTCAGAAAGTCCCACGCCATTAGTACATCCGATATCTGGCAATGGACACGCCCACCCGCCGCGCCGTCGTGGCCACGCCTACTGGCGCGGCGATCCCATCGATTCTGTTGACAGGAGCCCGGTTGTTCAAGTGTTCGTTTGACTTTTCGAGGGGTCTAGTCGGTAACCGCTCTGGCCCAACGGTCATCGCAAAATCACAGGGTGTAATGAACGTGCCTTACTGCTCGCAAGCTGCCACATGCCGTGCGCTCCGACTGAGCCTTTAAAATGGTAGCGTAAGTGTAAGCGACGGATATGCTACATAATCGCAGATCTTTGCCCTAAATAGGATGCACAAGCTATCACAACACCGCAACAGGGTACCCATGCTTTGGGATTCTATTTTTGCTCGCAGAGATGATTCGATTTTTGATTTTCACCATTTTTTTTGCTTCAAATATCAACTATAGAAACTCTCTTCAGCGTCTACGACAGAAGAAGACCTGTTTTATGAATCTACGACAACTGATGCAGGTTCCACGACAGACGACTCTAATGGTAAGATCTGATCAAACACGGTGTAGATATTAGCGGCAATTTCCCAGTGTTGTAAAGTCGAGATTACGCCAACTTAAAAGACGAATTCACGATTAGAATGAAGGTCGAAGAAGGAGTAATTCACCTAGTTGAGGGACCCGCGGACCTCCTAAGGGTGCGGACTGAAGCGCAATGGCACCAAAGGAGTTGACCTCGACGACTCGCCGCAGGTCTATACGTGGCGAGTGATTAGATAGGTGAGAGAGCGTAGTGTTGAAGAGGGCACAGCGATGAGAGTCGCATCAATGCTCAAATCAACGGGCAAGGAAGGGGTCCCATTTCTCGGGTTCTGGGCCGTTTCTCATGGTTCTTCCTTCTTTCGTGTACCACTCACCATCCCTAGGTTAATTTGAAATGGGTTGCTTTTTCATCGTGAATTCGTTTTTCAATTCGTCCTCTAAGTAGTGAACTAGAAGACGAAACGGTATCGAACAACTGATTACAAATTTAAATATGAGACTTTGCTGACGATGCTACTGAGAACTACTGAGTCATACCACAAGTAATGAGCTATTATGTACTCAGCCATGTGAGGAAAGGAAGGGAACGAGCACCCACGGCTAGGGTATAAATATATTGACATGATTGAATTTCAAGGGAAGTACTCACTCAACACAACTCCTGACTGCACCATCAGGCTCCCCATGGTTTCTTTATAGAATTCTGTAGTTTCGTGGTTTCGCGATCATTACTTGTCGTTTGTGAATAGCTTAGTTTTCATCAAACGAACAAGATTTATAGTCTGCTTTGAAAACCGATTTTTTTCGATATTGTTGTACACAAACAACTGTTTGCTGGGCAGTACTCAAAAACCGCTTCGCCTCAAAAGCTTCCGCCTCCTGGTTTAGTTGGTGATTTGGACGAGCTGTGTTGCCAGCAGCGCACAACTGGAGCAACTCGACTGGAGCATGGTTTGGCATGGTGCCACCAAACGCGTTGCGCTGAACTCGTTCATACGTCCGCTTTCTGAGCTGTTGCCTGTTCATGAGTGAAAACCAACGGCCAAAAAGGGGGTCCCGTTTTGCGTTTTCTTGACGGATTTCTCTGCTTTTTTCGCCACTGGTACAATCCTTAATCCCCCAGACACCTCTTGAACCAAACGTAACCCCTGCATTCAATGCTATTGGATTCACAAGCAAGAAATTTTACCTGCTGCCAGGCTGATCTTGTGAAATTCTTATGCGGAGTCCATTTGCCCGACTTCGCGTCAAACGGGAAATGGCCAGGTAACCTCCAAAATCCATGGAATCAGATTACACAATGTGTGCTATTGTGCTCCCCAAGGCAACACAGTTTGCAATAAGCCGCCTGCGAAAAGCACGAGATGAAATTCTGAAGGATGTCATGCAGGATGGTCGGCTAACGATATGAGGTTTGCCCAAAGAAGGTTGGATTCAACCACACTTCCCAAGGCGGTGAGGGTCCAGCCATCAACGATGGATGTCCTTCAAGAGGCCCATCGCGCGGCGAAGGAAGAGACGCAGACGCGGCAAAGGACGAGTCGCAGCGCATACTGTAGCGGTTAGGCGTCAGGTTAAATAGAGTGTACCATACTACGTCTCATATCGCACAGCACGCGCTGCGACTCGTCCTTTGCCGCATCTGCGTCTCTTCCTTCGCCGCGCGATGGGCCTCTTGGGGGACAATCAATGACGTTCAACAACGTCATCAACACCGCACCGCCCTCCAACCATCGTAATCACAGCCTTTAATACATATTTGCTAGGATATGGCTAAATGATGCAATGGTTTATGTCTAGCCCCTACGTAACTTTTGATAACACCCGCAATTATTATATTTTGTCACCAATATGTATTAATGCACCAACCCCCACCTGTCTGCATCACGGGTTCATCGATCAAACAGAAGTCTCTACATTTGGCTATTAACAAATAAAGGTTTTATCCAGTGCAATACAAAGACTTGCTTCAACTGCTAGTGTAAGAATCGGCAATAAAACACCAGTCTTGGAGTTCGGGTCAACCGTTCGTTCGTATTATTGGAACGAGGGGATCGTATTTGCGATTACAGGAGGAGGAGGGGGCGGTCGCATTTTGGGGTTGAGCAAGGTTACAGTATTATAGTGGAAACGGAGGTTGACGGAGTTCTTTGAATGTGATTGTGTTTAAACGGGTTTTTTGACAAAGTCATCTCGGAGTCCGAATTATGAGGTCTTGTAGGAGACGTTATGAGTCATGAATTTTCTGTGGCAAACCCCGCCCACTTTGGTGCATGCTTAGCCCACCAATAGCATTTAACCCCTTCCCTCCCTCAACCTTATCCACATTTTCCCCGGTCGCCGGACTTCTAGGAACCGAGTTATGAGAGTGGTGGCAAACTCCGCCCACTCTGATACATGCTTAGACCACAAGTAGCATTTA